TATATAGTCTAATAAGAAGGGTGATGATTGACAAGTACATCCACGAGTAATAAAGAAAATGAGGACTGGAGGGGAGGGTGATATTTTTTTGCGCGACGCAAAAAGAGAGCCGAAAGGAAAAGAGCTGTCGAAAAATTGGGCCAGGAGCGGTAATTCAACCCGCAAGCTCTCTCAGTCCGGTGCAATGCCTTAACGGCTAAGGCACAGTATGGACCGACAAAGGTTGTTAATTCCTGGCGCATTTTTTCGCAAACTGTTCCCCTTTTGCCCTTAATAAAAAAAAATTGAAAAAGTCACCCTCTCCACCTTTCATATTATATTGCGGGACTCGCAAGCCGTGGCTTCACTCTACGGTCAAGACCTGAAAAGCGGTCCCCGCTTGCAACGTCGTCAAATTAATCTACGTTAGTAGAAGGAATCGTCTTTCAAAGCATATCCAGGGTGTCGCAGCTATCTCAAAGTAAGCTAAAGAAAACGGAATGCTCTTGGCGAATGAAACTAACTGTTCGCTTTGAGCACTCGTCTTGACACGGAGACAAAAAGACAGTGTCGGGGGGTCAGTATCTTGGAGCGGGAGGAGGAAGCTGTAAACCCCCCCCCCCCCCCCGCCCCCCGAAATAGGATCCTGGCTACGCCACTGATTATATGAGTCCTAAGCAGATAAATGTGCAGCCGACGGGTACTGAAGATCACGCTCGGAACAAATCATTTCGTGACGAGGATTCAACATTGTTCATAGACAGGCGCCGAAAAACACAAGGACAAGAACAGACGTAAAAACTGGCGCTTACAGTGTTTACGTCCTTTCCTGTTCTTGTGTTTTTCGGTGCCTGTCTATGATCATGTACCAACTTGCCCAAATTGCCACATTAATGAAGGAATTAACAACAGCATCTCCCTTGGCGCTTACAATTCGCTTAAGTTTAGTATGTTATGGCTTTGTACGTTCTACAGGAAGACACCCTGTTCAATCCCTGTGTTTAAAGCGAAAGGTTTAAAGTTTTAAGCAGAAGTATGTCTGGCGTATTCCCAAATGCTCTTTTATGGAAAAAAACACAGAGCATTCCAGGCCGGATGGTCTGCTTAGCAGATCACGCCTTGCCCTACGTTTTTCTCTAACTCTTCCTTTCCAGACACTTCAATTAGCTTAGCCTGCGTGTATGACATAATGTATTTTTCCTGATTAAAATATCTATATAACAAATTGTGCCACTTCTTTTTGCATTATTTATCTAATATAACTTAGATTACGCTCATAACAGGCTCGCATATATAAACATTTAAAATAAAATCGGAACAAAACCTTATTTTTTAAAGATATGGCAGAGAAACGCATCAAACAAATGAGTAAGAAATCAGCTGCGTTGTATACTGCATAAGGCGTAAGTCCACGGCAGTCAATTCGCCGTCTACTTTTTTTTATATTCCTTATGACTTATCTTACCGTCGCATTGACAGCTGCCAAATTTTCAAGCTCACAGGGATCCCGTTGAATGTCGAAGTAGTAGGGGGAACTGTTGGCGACGAAATTGCTTCCCGGGTTGTACTGAGAGCAGTTCACCACTACCTCTTGACGCCAATTAGGCCTAATTGACAGTTTCTCAACCTTGTAGAAGTCCCTGAGCACTGTTCCGGTGCGAGACTTCAGCATCATTTCGTCCAGGCCTTCAACGGGTCGTGTGCCTCCTGGAACTTCGCTGCGATGATATCTTAATTCGTCAGGGAAGGTGGAGGTGAGAAACACCTTACGATTTCCCACGATTAACGCCGAGGAATTAGCGGCCGAGTCAATGTTGAGAAGGATCTCATGGCGCGGAGAAGGCAGGTCCTCACAAAGCGCTTCCCACATGTCTATTCCGTCAATGACACCTAGCCTTGACACATCTCCTCCTGAAAGGATGAAAATATCAAAGATATTAGAGGTTCCTTAAAGAACGCTAGCGTGAGGATAACTTTAAAGACGTTTATTTATTTTTATTTATTTATTTCAATACCCTCAGGGCCCAGAGGGCATTACAGAGGGGGTGGACAAGAACAACAACAATGCAAAAACATAAAAAAGCAAAGCAAAGGCCAACAATGCACTTCTGCTAGAGAGAAGAAAAGATCAGCCTAATATGTATTAGCAAAAATGATTAACTAATGCAGCTCTAAATAAATCAACTGATGATATGTTTACAAAAGATGCGGGAAGGTGGTTCCAATCGGAGGACGTTCGAGGAATGAAGGAGTCAATGTATGCCGAGGTTTTGCAAAGAGGTATGCCGACTTTGAAGCGATGATCGATGCGGGGAGAAATGAAAGATGGGCTCAGAAGTAGTTTGTCCTTCAGCGAGGCGTTAGAATGATACATTTTGAAAAACAGACATAGGCATGATATTTTTCGTCGTAGTGAAAGAAGAGGCAGAGATAGAGTTGATTTCATAGATGATACGCTAGCAGTGCGGTGATAATTGCAGAAAATGAAACGCACCGCACGATTTTGCATGGCTTCAATATTATTCATGAGCGTCGTTTGGCCGGGATCCCAGATTGCTGCAGCATACTCGAGCTTTGAGCGAACTAGAGTTTTGTATAAAATTAGTTTGAGGGACATAGGGACTGAAGAGAAGTTTCTTTTGAGATACCCAAGCATAGAGTTAGCATTAGCGATAATGTGATCAGTATGAGCTTTCCATGACATGTTAGAAGTAATATGTACGCCAAGATATTTATAAGAAGACACAAACTGCAGAGGAGTGTTACAAATTGAGTATGACGATGGGGTCTTGATACCACGAGAGACACTCATAGCTTTACATTTATTAGTATTAAGAGACATCTGCCAAAGGTTACAGCAGTCGGATACCACGCATAGGTCATCTTGGAGAATTGTGGTATCAGAATCGTTAGTAATTTCACAGTAGATTACACAGTCGTCGGCGAATAAACAAATGGATGATGATACACACATGGGTAGGTCATTTATATAAATAAGAAACAAAAGGGGCCCTAAAACAGACCCTTGGGGAACACCAGATATAACGGGACTGAGAGAGGACTTAGCTTCATTGGTAGTAACAAATTGAGAACGATCAGTTAAAAAACATTTAATCCATGACAAAACATTCGGGTCTATCTTAAGTTTACTAAGTTTATAAAATAGGAGTTTGTGAGAAACTTTATCGAACGCTTTGCAAAAGTCGAGGAAGACGCAGTCAACCCGGGATCCACGGTCAAGAATGGAAAGGAGGTCATTAGTGAAAGTTAAAAGTTGAGTTTCACAGGACAGTGATTTGCGGAAGCCATGTTGTGAAGGCGAAAAAAAAAGAATTCGAATCTAAGAAATTCACCAGATGAGAGTAAATGATGTGCTCTAAAAGTTTACAGGGCGTGCTGGTTAAGGAAATGGGTCGATAGTTAAGAGGACTATGTTTGTCACCTGTCTTGTGAAGCGGAACCACCTTCCCTATTTTCCAGTCACTTGGCAAGACACCAAGGCTAAGGGATTGTTCAAAAATTTTAACAAGATAAACGGAGATGTAAATTTTATTATGCTTTATAAATTTAGGGGTAATATTGTCAATGCCACAAGAAGAAGATATTTTCAAATTGTCGATAAGTTTAACAATTCCGTCATAATCAAGTATAAGAGGATCCATGGGGAAAAAATCATAATCTGGATACATAGGAAAACATGACCCAACGTCACTGGAGAATGCCTTAACAAACATATCATTTAAAACAAAGGCACACTGCTCTCTCGGAATGTCGATGCCACCAACCCCAGTGAGCGTAATATCAGTCCTCTTTGGTCCGTTTACGACACTCCGAAATTGTTTAATACTATTGGATAGCATAGAAGGTAGAGTTACATTAAAAAAGATTCTCTTGTCTTCATTGATGGCTGCCTTATAAGCATTTGCGGCTGTTTTATAAGCTACCCAATGCTTATCACAACCAGACGATTTCGCAGTCCGGAAAAGGCGTTTTTTCTTGTTAGAAAGACGTTTAAGTTTGACGTTAAACCAAGGTGACGATACGTTAGAAACAATGAACCTGCATGGAATGAAAGAGGTAATTAAAGAGTTTATCTTGTCCTTAAACAAATTCCAGTTAACTTCAACGGAACGTTCAGAAACGTCAAGTAGGTACTCATCAAGGAAGCCCGCTAACTCATTATTTATCGCTTCAAAATTTGCCTTACTGTAGTCTAGGAATTGTTTTCTGGCTTTATTGGAAGTACACGGTGAAGTAAACAAATTGAACTGCAAAATTGAATAATCACTAATACCTGGTAAATAGGTTATCGAGGAAGCGAGATTGGAGTCAGTGGTAAGTATAAGATCTAACACATTGGCAGTTGTACCGGAAATCCGTGTAGGTTCGGTAACAACTTGTGAAAAAGAAAAATCTGAACACAAATTAAGGAAATCATGGTAATGGGGAGAGCTGCAAGAAGTAGCAGGATATTCTCCCGACCAATCAATAAGGGGTAGGTTAAAATCACCAAGTAAAAACACAGGCGCCAGTGGAAACCTAGAACAAATGGCATTCAAAGCATCGTGCAAGTCGGGAATAAAATTTACAGAGGCATTGGGGGGCCGGTAGCAGGCGCACAGAATAATATTTTTATAAACACATTGCAAACGCATGCAAACGAGCTCCAGCGGGGTACCAATATTGACGTGATAACATTCAAGGCATTCATTTACAGCAATCAGAACTCCGCCCCCACGCCTATCTACTCGGTCACAACGAAAAAACTTGTATCTTTTAGTACAGTCAAATATTTCATTATCTCGGACTGTACTTGAAAACCATGTTTCGGTCAAAACTGCAATATCACTCGAAGATGAGTCTATGAGTGACGATAAGTCTTCCCGGTTATGAATGACACTTCTTATATTCGTGAAAAGAACTGAAAGGGAATCTGGAAGACTAGAAGAACTACGCACGTGTTTATCTCTTTGTGTCCTTGGTTTTGATGCGGCAGATTTAGGCGCATTATGTCGGATTAGCTAGGTCGGGGCTTCATAGATTTGACTTGTTTCATAATCGAAAAGAAATTGCTTTTCACCGATGTACAATTTATCGACTCGAAGATGGAAACGGTTTCCTTGTGTGCGGGCAAAATCCAGGAGGCTCTTTCTTGCAAACTGAACATTTTGTGGGTAATCTTCGCTCACAGAAATACCTGTATCTTTAAGTTTGAAAGCTGAACCCAGCACTGCATCCTTCAACTTAAATTGGGAAAACTTTACAACAACAGGTCTGTTCTTAGCTGGATTAAACCTCCCAATCCGGTGAGCCCGGTCGATAGTAGCGGGGTCAATTTGAAGTCCCAGTTTATCGGAGCACAAATCCAATACCAGTTTTTCAGATTCGGCCCATGTTTCTTTAGTCGTGTCTTTGAAGCCGAAAAAAATTAAATTTGAACGACGTGAACGACTCTCAGCATCATCGGAACGCCGCTTCAGGGATGCCATTTCTAACAGAACAGATTCAAGTTTTTGTTCCAGTTCTTCCGCCGAGTTCATTTTTGATTTACAAATTACGAGGTCACTCTCAATAATCCCGACACGCGCTGTGAGGGCAGATATTGAGTCATTTGTACGTTTCTGTTCGTCGTTTAATTCTTTCAACTGGCTCATGATGCTTGACTGGCCAGCATGTAACTGGGAAACAATAGACTCAATGTTTGCAAGTGACTCGGCCTCCGGCTTGGACATGGGACCGGGATTACGTTCCACATCCCCACTAAGAAGGAGCAACAAGTCGCGAAAACGCTTCAAGCACGTCCGTGGGCACGGCAATACAACGAGGCAAACGTTGTTACTTCTAATAGAATAAGGAATTTTGTGTACACCAACCTGCACAGTAAACAGGAGCGGAATATTAGGCGTCATCATCGGAGCTTGTTCGCCGTGCCCACTGGTCGAAAAATCCCGCGTGAAGGCTTTTGAAGGTCGAGCGCATGAAGTCGATGTCGGTGGGACTTGCGTATACGTCAGAGCAGCCGGTGGAAACTGCAACGTCGCTCCAGCGCCACGGTCATCTTCACCGAGTGTGATGGGAAGGAAACGCAGCAGAACAGCCCCTGCTGACGCCGCCGGCGTGATGGTCGTTGTCGAGTGGTACGTTGCAAAGCCGCTGTCAGTCGTCACGATCAGAAACTGCACAGTAAACAGGAGCGGAATATTAGGCGTCATCATCGGAGCTTGTTCGCCGTGCCCACTGGTCGAAAAATCCCGCGTGAAGGCTTTTGAAGGTCGAGCGCATGAAGTCGATGTCGGTGGGACTTGCGTATACGTCAGAGCAGCCGGTAGAAACTGCAACGTCGCTCCAGCGCCGCGGTCATCTTCACCGAGTGTGATGGGAAGGAAACGCAGCAGGACAGCCCCTGCTGACGCCGCCGGCGTGATGGTCGTTGTCGAGTGGTACGTTGCAAAGCCGCTGTCAGTCGTCACGATCAGAAACTGCACAGTAAACAGGAGCGGAATATTAGGCGTCATCATCGGAGCTTGTTCGCCGTGCCCACGCTTATTGTCATGACCTTGCTGCTGAACACGTTTCTTTCAAGTAAAGTTGTTTACAGAGCTACGTTTTTGCAAGTGCGACTTGGATAGCGCAGCATATAATTTTTGAAGTTAGCAACAGCACATGCCCTTAAAACATTTCCCGTGGCAATGCACGGATTGTGAAATATTCCGAAATGAGCCAATTTGATTTCTCTATTGCTATTATTTGAACTTCTTCATGTCCTTTGAACTGGAATTGTATGAAGCAAAGGGAAATACTTCGCAAAAAAGACATTCTTACTACACAAAAGATTCGTGAAATGTCAAGCTAAAATAAAATTATGAAGCTTGATGATTTTCCTTTTTTTACAACTGTTTTTGGCAACTGAAGCCTCTTCGCAAACTTCGTGGCCATTCATTTTGCGTTCCGGTTATTTCATTTGTTTGTAAATTTTAATGTTATCTACTAACTCGTCTTTACTATATACAACAAATATGGCTATCGCGTTTAGGGAATTAAAATGAATCAGTGAGGGAACAAAAATATGAGAACACAACTTTCTAGTAAAAGGGCCAATCTCTCATTGGCTATTACCCTTAATCGCCACGCACACTTTCAACACGAGGGGCGCCACGTTGCGAAGGCAGTTTTGTTTTTACACTGCCAATTTCGCTGAGTTTTAACCAGCCATTGATATTTAGTTTTAGCCTCCATGAAGCTAATACAATGAAGTGCACGCCAAACCCTGCTACCGGGTGGGACCTAACATAGCTGTGACAGAAAAGAAGATGGCGTCTTAAACTCAAACATTAAAGGAAAACGTTTTCTCACAACCGAAAATCAGTACTACAATAAAAACTACAGATATGGTAAGTAGGAAGAAATGCGCTCTGTACGGATGTTTAAACGCCTAGATTTGCTTTCCATTTTTTTGCGCTTTGACCCCATCCGACCTCATCTCTTGTTTGACTACTACTTCCATATTGTTTCAAGAACTCCAACAAAAAACTCGCCGAAGATACTTAAAACTGCTTACGTGTAGGAATGCGCAAGCATTCCTTCACGCAGCGCATTCCCACAAGCAGCGAGGCACGTCTTGCTTTCGCTCCAACGGTGACACCAGGCTCCCCACTGCGCAGGCACGGAGAAGCTTGCCGGCTTACGTGACGAAGCATCTGCGTTGTTCTGCTTTTCTTTGTTTTATTTCTCAGGCAAATGCTTGATCACGTACATTTATGGCAATCTTTCGGGGACAACGCCGACGTTTCTTCGCGTAATGAGAGAGGCTTTCGTTGAAAATCAAACTTACCGGCTGCAGAATACAGAGTGGGCAACCAGTCGGTAATGTGCATCATCTGGCTCGAGATGCGACCTGACCTCCGCAACAGAGGGCTCCAGATAAAAGCGGCTCCCCGCACGCCTCCTTCCCACAAGGTAGCCTTGAAGCCCCTCAGAGGCCAGTTGAAACCGTAGTTGGATCCAAGACCCGTGGGAAGGCCTCCGTTGTCGGTGCTGAAGATGACGATGCTGTTTTCCAGCATATTCCTTTTGTGGAGTGCCTCAATAACCAGACCGATTGATTGGTCCATCTCGTAGACAGCCCCTTCAAAGAACCACCTCTTTAATTCTTGCTGCATATCATGAACTAAACGAGATTTTGGCAAAGTTGAGTTAATATCACGGTGTAAGATACGTGTATATAGGTGTGGACACGCAACATGGCGAACACCGCGATGCGATCGACCAGATAAAGTCTTATAATAATAATAATAATAATCTTTATTTGGACTCCTTGAGTCTCAGGTGGAGAGCAAAAATTAAACAGATTTACCTGACGAGGCCCCACCACCCTGTACATTGCTCAGCAAAGAATCAAAACAGACTAGAAATGAACACAAGAAAAAACGACAATATATCTTATCAAACAATGTGTCACTGTGCGGAACGAAAAACGAAACAATCCTTCTACAGAATAATGAATTATTGAAGTACAAACTGGCAGGAGCAATGAGCTTTCAAGCGAATTAACACAAATAACGGTGATCAGAGCTGATTATACGCTATTCAACCCAAAGCATAACCAAAACGCAATTTCCTATTGTAAAATATAACGTTTCATGTTACCTTTGAAGGCAAGAAGGGAAGTAGCATTCCTCATTAATTCAAAAACACTTGGATGATCGTTCAAAAGCTGTGGCATTTTATACGCTAGATCTTGAGAGCCATAATTCGTCCGTATTTTGGGCTTTGTGTATATTTCATTTCTTGAATTATATTGTGTTGTTTTAGGGTGGTAGATGTCACAAAAGTTTTTTTGGTCACTGCTGTACTATATATAATTATCATCGCTAGTTTTAAAAGAAAGAGCTGATGGATATTTAAAATTCGATATTTGACAAAATATGGGGCTGAATGATCGGTATAGTGAAGGTTTTCGATGCAACGAACAGCGTTTTTTTGTAGGCCGAATAGTCTGTCTAGATTTGTTTTTGTTGTAGTTCCCCAAACTAGTAAGCAATAATGTAAATGAGATTGCACAAGACTGTAGTAGAGTTGGCACTTAAGCCAACAGGGAAGGAGATGTTTAAGTTTATACAAGATTCCAATAGATCTGGATATACTAGAGCGAATATGATTGATGTGATCTGTCCAGCTTAAGGTTTCTTCGAACCAGACACCTAAAAATCTTAGGGAGGACACTCTTTCTAATTCTGAGTTTCTAAATTGTACCGAGAAGTTACTACAGAGTTGCTTATGCACAGGCTTGAAGATAATATATTTTGTTTTGTTAATATTCAATTCTATTTGACTAGACTCTAGCCACAGCGCAAGTTCGCGTAACCAAATGTTTGATAAACCTTCTATTACACTCAGATCCTTATCAGTAAAAAACACATTGGTGTCGTCTGCATAAAGTATAATATCTGGAGTTTGCGGAATGTTTACTATGTCATTTATGTACAACAAAAAAAAGGTAATGGTCCCAGAATTGACCCCTGAGGCTCACCATAATTTATTTTCATTAGTTGCGATTCATACTCATTGATTTTTACATATTGTGATCGTCCAGATAAATAGCTCTGAATTAGGTTCCAAGTTATGACCCTTATGCCATAGTGCGTCAGCTTTTTTAGAAGAATGTCATGTTTGATCGAATCAAATGCCTCGCGAAAATCCCCCAAAAATTCCTACTGTATATAATTGAGTTTCAAAAATATTAATTAGCTTATCTTTGATATATAGCGAGGCTTTTTCCGTGGATTTGTTTTTCTGGAAGCCATACTGCTGCTTTACAATTCTGTTATTTTTTTTCAAGGTAACTAGAAAGCCTAACGTTGATTACCTGCTCTAGAAGTTTTGAGAATAAAGGTAGCACAGAAATCGGCCTATAGTTGTTTATATTATTGCGTGGGCCACCTTTATGTGGCAAGTTTCATTTTTTCCGGAAATATACCAGTCAATAACGATGTGTTACAGATATGTTCTAGAGGGGAGCTTATAAAGTGCCTAATTGCCTTAATCGGAGCCGCTTTTATATCATCTGATCCGGCCGCTGTGTTATTACTTAAATTCTGGAGGGGCTTCGTTATCTCTGCCTCCGTCACAGGGCAGAGGAAAACTGAATTTGCATTTGCGGCTGGCGACATATAAGGCTTAAAGCTACTACTTGATACGGATGTAGTGGGGCAGGCGCCGCAACTTAAGAAGTGAGCGTTAAACTTGTTAGCAAGGAAGGAATTCGAATATGAGATACCATCAATTACCAGTTTATTTGGAATTATATTGTGGGACTGGGAAGTAAGACACCTCACAGTGTTCCATACTTTTTTAGGATCATTATAAACGGACGCGAATTTATCGCCGTAATACTGCTTGCGTGCTTTCTTAATGTCTGCGTTTAGCTTATTCCTTATCTTTTTATATTCGCGTAACACCGACTCATCTCTTGTTTTGATAAAAGTATAGAGTTCATCTCGCCGTTTTATTCTTCTATACATATCATGAGTGATCCATGGTTTTCTTATTTTTTTGTGTTTTCTAACATTTCGCAAGGGAAACGCTTCGTCATAATATTCTTTAATCCTAGTTATGAAAATGTCGTAGCATATACTTGGATCGGTTTCACTGCATAAGTCATCCCAATTAATCTTTGACACAAGGTTATAGAACTTAGTTATATTGGCAGCATTGATACTCCTACAAGTTGTGACAGCTACGGAGTGCTTTGTGTCTATGCGTTTTCGTTGAAAAGGAAGGATGCAAAATATAGGTAAGTGATCACTGACTGGACAGGAAAAGATTCCAGAGATTGTTTCACTCGGTAGGTCACTTGTGATACATAAATCGATTATGGTTGCACTATCCCGAGTTATTCTTGTTGGCGCAGTAATTACGTTACTGCACCCGAACGATTCAATAGTATCAAGGAACTGTCGGCAGAGCGGATGCGAGCCCGACAGATCAATATTAAAGTCCCCTATTAGTATGATTCTTAAATTCAGTGAGGTAATATGCTCCAAAAGTTTAACTACGTAATTCATAAATTCGGATATCGCCCCAGAAGGTGGACGATATAGAGCAGCCACTACGGATCCTCCACATATGGCAACAATCGATTGGTAGTCACTAGTTACATGCGAGTATTCGGACATTACACTATACCCTATGCTTTTACGAAAATACAGTGAAACGCCCCCTCCTTTTTTATTAGATCTGAATACGCCTTCGCTCTTATAGCCCTCAAAACTAACCTGATCACATGTATTATAGACCCAAGTTTTCGTGAAAGCCAAGACGTCGAAACTGTAACTCAGAGAGTTCAAAAACATAGTAACATCATCATGTTTATTTACAATACTCCTAGCATTCAAATGACAAATAGAAAAATGTCTTTTAAGAAACGATACGTTATCTTGCAGAAGCTGTTTAAATGTATCCTGGCTGTAGTAAAGGGGCATGAATGTTGTGTCAGCCATTTTACATTATTTTGCCGAGA